AAATCAGGTCATTCACTCTATTTCTTGTGCGGTGAACACCTTTGTGGCCGCTAATCTCAGGGCTGAGGCTCCCTCTAGTCTCAGGCAAAAGCAACACCAATCTTCCTTTAACCAACGCTCACGCTTTGTCGGTTACAACCGACGCCGGGTTTCAAAATATTTAATAAAAAAGTAAAACCTATGTCGGCTACAACTGACACCGGCTTTGAAAATAATTTAAAAACAATCATTAGTGTCGGCCAGAAGCGACAATAGTCTTCTTTTAACCGACGCTAATGTTATTTCTGTTAAAAGCGACACGGTTTTTTTTTTTTTTTTTTTTTTTTTTTTTTTTTTTTATTTTATGTGACGCCACTATTAAAAACTGATAAAATATATGTCGGTTATAAGCGACATTAACAGTTTATGTCGGTTACTACCGACAATAATTCCGACACCATGTTAAGTAGGTGTCGGAATGTCTTATCTACCACTATGTTATAAAACCGACACTAACCGCCGACACAATAAGACCCCTTTGTAGTAGTGCTCCTCCCTTTCCTTTACGGAAAGTTAATGTGGATGTTAATTGTTGCATGACGACGAGGCAGGGATACTTGGGGATTGTTATCAAGGTTCACGCGAGAGTGTTTGTTGCAGCTCGGCGAGGTCCAATTCTGGCATTGTCGGTGTTGGCTGCGAAGGCTTTGGCGGTGCTTGGGGGGGTGTTTGTTAGCTAGGGAGATGTGGTTTTCCAATATTGTGGTGAAATCAGATTCGAAAAAGGTTATCTCTTCTTTGGAAGGCTCGATTCACCTTGGAGGTTGGGAGGTTTTCTCGACCCTTGCCAGGGTCGTTCAGTTGGGAGAGTCCCTTCAAGCTTGTCGCTTGTCTTGGATTCCAAGAACAGGCAACTTGGCAGCAGACATGATTGCGTCAAAATTGTTTCAGGAGATGGATGCTAGCACTTAGGTCGTGAGACCTCCATCTTCTTTGGTGCATGTTCTTAACTACAACGGTTTGCCGTGTCCTCCTACTAGTTAGTTTTCCTTAGATTTTTAGAGGGTGACGCTTTGCACTCAATGTAGTGTCCGAGACTCCTTATACCCTCAACATTCCAGTTGTTGTTTGTAATCTGTTATGCTTTCTATTAGCCATGTGTCTTTAGGCTTTCCATGTACTCAATTGGCTTTTGTCCTGAAAACGAATTTACCAGTTTCAACTAAAAAACAAAAACCACTGTTAAAAAGCTCGAGTACAACCTAAAAATAAGATGAATAATGGGTCAAATAATATAAGCAACAAAAATGACAAGTGACCTTCTATCACAGTCAGTTCGCTAATTTAACTTGTAATCTAACAAAGGAGAAAAAAAATATAAGCTACGTAAAGACAGGTTGAAAAATACATGAGGCACTAATCTAACTTGTAATCTTACCAGGGAGAAAAAAAATGTAGCATCTCTGCTCTCACAGCGCTGGGATTTTGGATTCCTGGGGATCGATGCGACAATAGCAACGGCAAATAATAGTACTCTATCACAAATCAGTGAGTGCAAATGACCATTATGGCCCTCGTAACGAACGATTCCAACGGAGCGGACCCCACATTTGAGCGGATAGGAGGAGCAGGCAGGAATCAAAGTTTTGTGGGGCCAGCCTCAGCCGAGACTGTGTGTGATGCACACTGCAACGATACCAACATGACTGAAATCAATTCATGGCAATAACAGGTCATTTCAAAGGGAATCACCAATTTCGATATTTTGTATTTTGCTTTGTCAATAAAAGCTAAAACATGTACAAGAACAAGACTAAAACTTCAATAATTGAAATTTTTTGTTTTAGTGTATCTTAAAAATGTAATTTTTTGTAATGAAATTTTTTATAATTAGACCATCGATGAAGGATTAGCGGCTAGAATTTTATGTGTATTAACAAAACTAGAGTAAAATGATTTAACCATTTATATTTTTAATGCACAAGATAAAAATTAGAGCGTATGGAAAAATTAGAGGGCCATTGAATGAAATCGTCTAATCTAATAATAATTTTTTCCATTTATAAGTGATATTGTAAGTACACCGTATGTCATGTTAGAGAGGAGATTTGTGTGCAGCAGAGGTCGGTGTCCATGACATCGTAATGGGGGCAATGATGCCTCAATTCCAAGAGTGGATCCCGTTGACTTGTTACAGTGGTTGGGTAAAACTAAAAACAATCTTCACTTGCCAGTCACCTAAATTAAAAATGTCGATCTCCATTAGAAACGGAAGTGGTCATTTACTATAATAATGGAAATGTGTTGAGTTATTGTATGATTATGTGAGTTTAAATTTCGTCAGTAACTAATTTAACATTTAATCTAATAAAATTTATAGTTTGACAAAAAAAAAAAAAAAATTAGAAACGTTAAGCTTATGTGGAAATGGTTGAACCCCTTAAGTTAGCAAACGTTAATCAATTAGAGCGGGTCCCGTTGACCTGTTACTGTAGAAATGGTTGAACCCGAATGACCTGAACAGATCAACCGTTTCACTCGTTTATATCTGTTAGCAAAAAGTAACTTTTACAAAAAATTCAGATCCGTTAAAAAGCGTCCAGACCCAGTACCTTTTGAAGCTTTATGCTCTCTCTCCCTCTCGCCAAAAAGTCAAAAAATTAAAAAGAATAAGAAGCAGCTGCTGAACTTATTGCAATTTTGCGGGTAGATAATCAAGCTTTTTATAATGGGAAAATTTGAAATAGGTCTAATTTTATAGATTACTTTTTGAAATAAGTTCAATTTTTAGTGACTTTTAACTTTTAAAATAGGTCCAATTTTTAGTTACTTTGGACCCATTTCAAAAAACTCCTTTTATAATTTGGTCATATGGCACTTCGATATTGTCTGAAACAAAAAAATTTAAAAATGTTAAATGACTTTGTATATATTTTTTAACTTGTCATATAAACCAAAATTTTAAGCAATTTATTATATTAATTTTTCAAAATTATTAATTTGTCACCTCACTTCAACTCAGTTATGTTTTCCATTTAATATTTTCAAGGTTATTTCAATCTTTTCAGCATCTTTTCATAGTTTTATTTTTTTTCATTAGTACAAACGCTTAAATTTTGTGTTCGTGAGTACTCACGGGGATCGGTGTGAACAAAATCTCTGAGATCAAGTATAGCATAGCAGCAACCCCTTCTGTGGCTTTAGAAACCTTAGATTTTTTTTTTTTTTTTTTTTTTTTTTTTTTTTTTTTTTGTGGAATACAACTTAATAAAAGGGAACTTATAGTGGATGAAAAACTTAACGGATTTTGGGTAAGATAACAAATTAATGATTTCAGAAAGTTGATATGACAAATTGCTTAAAAATTTAGTCTATATGACAAATTGAAAATTATGTACAAGTTCATATGGCATTTCAAAAATTTTCCCTTGCTTGAAATCCAAAGCCTTCAAATGGAGGAATGTGAATGTTTGTTAACTGTTTCAAACTATTAACGGATTCTTAACGGTTTTGTACTTTGACCAAATCGAACCGTTAAGTAATGGTTCATTAACAGGTTCATTCATTATCAATCAGACCCGTTAAGCATCTATTTAAATACTAATTTTAACGGGTGGGTTGATTCGAGTTAATGGGTTGCATGCAAATTGCCACCTCTAATCTCGATGGTATCAATTAGAGGTGCAACTAGGCCGGGTTGGGTGGTTAGATAGTCAACCCAATCCTAACCCAACATTCCCAATTTAGGTTTGTGTTAGGTTCGAGCTTACTCGGGTTGGATTTAGATTTCTCCAATTTTATCAAATTCAATCTTATAACACATTATTTTATAAGATAAATATCAAATTATGAACCAAATAACGGAAAACTATTTAAAATTCAATTTTACACCACCATTCATACAAATAACATGAGACACATTTTTCAAGTTTCAACCATGCAAAGTTAAAATTAAATGACAAGACAATACCAACATTTTAACCAAAAGAATCGTAAAAGCAACACTATGCTCATTTTCAAATGAAAAGCAAACAACAAACTTCCAAATAGAACTCTCCCAAACTTGTATCTAGCTCATGTAATATAAGGTGGAAGGAAAGGGATCGCCTCTAGATCCCTTCCACCTAATCCTCCTCATCAAACAATCCGGGCCCTTAAAATTTGATCTAAGGGCTAAAAACACGAGCTCACTCTAAAAGTTATAATAACTTTAGCTGTTGGATCAAATTTCAAGTGTTTGGATTGTTTGATGAGGAGGATTAGATGGAAGGGATCCGGAGAGGACGGGCAAAGCAGCAACCCAATCCAACTCAACCCAATAAATAATCAAGTTGAGATCGGATTGAGTTTGGACGGATTTTTACTTCATTCTAACCTGCTCAATCAAATTTGAATTCACGTTGAACATATGCAGATTTTAGTTGACTCAACTTAAATTGCACCCCTAGTCTCCATCCTCAAGTTTTTCCAAGTACATAAATTGCATTAATAGAAACCAGTATAAATATCATAAATAATTCTTGGGTAACAAAAAAGACTTCTTGTTAATAATAGAAAGGGAAGGGAAAGGAAGCCTCTGTAGTTTGTCTGTGTATTGTGTATTACATATTGGCACATGTCATATCTCTACCATCCTATAGCTAGAGGCCCAGAGAGAGAGAGAGAGAGAGAGAGAGAGAGAGAGAGAGAGAGTTTTAGAGAAAGAAGCATTGGATAGAGAGAGAGAGAGACAGAGTATTGAATTTTGGCAAGCGCAGTGAGGGCTTTTCAATTGCTGTGTTGTGTTTCAGAAAGAAAGAGAAAGCACAGCGGAAGACGCAGAGCAATTGATGCAATAAGAAAAGCAGAAGTACTTCTTACTCAGAAGCTGCAGAGTAATAAGGAAAAATGGACACATGAGAGAGACCAAGGTGACAAGCCTATCTACTTCTTCCTAAATCCCACTCTATTCCATGTCAAACCCCCTTTTCCTTTTTCCAAAAGTGCTTATTTGAGAAGCAGATTTTGAGAGAGATTCAAAAATGGTGACTGGCTGGCGAAGGGCCTTCTGTACATCCATTCCCAAAGACAGAGACTCAAAAGTGCGTATTGAGAAGCAGCAATGCAACGACAACGGCAATCAGCAGAATCCCAGAACCAGCTCCAAATTTGGCTTCTTCTCCAACCCATCAACCCCACGCCTGCAATCTCAACCCCAAACTCAACCTGTAGTATCTAGCCCCGGCGGCCTCCGCTGCCGAACCACCGCCACCTCCACCGCCACAAACACCCCCACTTCCTCACTACCTAACAGCCCAAAACTCCAATGCGACGTCTCGTCCGCCGCCACAACCCCCCAAAAAACCACCAGCTACAGCCCGAGACTGCTTTTCCAGTTCCAGCGCTCCAACCCATCGTCCCCAAAATCTCCCTCCAGGTTCTCAATCCTCAGGTCCACCCTACGCCTCTCCAAAGTAAGCATCTTTTTCCACAATCCCCTTTTCATAATTCCCTTTTTTTTTTAACAAAAGAAATTCAACTTTTAGTACTAAAAACTTTTTAGTGACGATTGTTTTTTCTTCTCTTTGCAGAGTAGATGCGGAATCTGCTTACAGACTGTGAAAAGTGGTCAGGGCACCGCCATTTTCACGGCGGAGTGCTCCCATTCCTTCCACTTCGCCTGCATCTCCGCCCACGCCAAGAAGAACAGCCTCCTCCTCTGCCCCGTCTGCAGCACTGCCTGGAAGGAACTGCCGTTAATCTCCGTCAACAAACCACAAACCCAGCAGCAACCGCTGCCATTTTCATTGCCCAAGAAGCCCAGAGATGTTAAGACCAAACCTCCGAGAGTTTACAACGACGACGAGCCGCTTTCGTCCCCGACTTCCGGTTCCCAGTTCAACCCAATACCAGAAGAGAACGATGACGAAAACGACGCCGTTGAATTCCAGGGGTTCTTTGTCAATGCGAGTTCCAGGCTTCAATCACGTTTCCCTTCGGCTGACCGGAATGTGAAGAATGTGGAGGTCAGTCTGTTGCCGGAACTGGCGGTTGTGGCTGTCGGAAGGAGTTACGAGACGCACGCGGTGGTTCTGAAGCTCAAAGCACCGCAAACCAATGAGTCCAAGACGGCGTCGTTAGAGCTTCGCGCTCCGATTGACTTGGTGACGGTGGTGGACGTGAGCGCGAGCGCGAGCAATGCAAAGATTCAGATGATGAAGCGCGCGATGCGACTTGTAGTTTCGTCGCTGCGCGACACTGACCGTCTCTCAATCGTCGCATATTCCTCCACTTCGAAGAGGCTGTTGCCGCTCCGGCGAATGACCTCCGCCGGCCGACGTTCTGCTCGTCGGATTGTGGACGCGCTCTGCGCCGTCGGCCAGAGGATGTGTCTCAACGACGCGCTCAAGAAGGCCGCAAAGGTGATCCAAGATCGGCGCGAGAAAAACGCTGTTGCGAGTATCATGCTTCTATCGGATGCCGCTCAACCAAAAACCAATCAGAAGCGATCTTCTTCCCCCGTCGTGTCCTCCACGCGCTTCCCTCACCTCGACATCCCCGTCCACACAGTCGCATTCGGGGACGGTTGCGACGACGCGCTTGTAAGGTGCATTGGAGGCTTACTAAGCGTCGTGGTCCAGGATCTTAGTCTCCAACTCGGCGTCATTTCGGGTTCATTACCTGCCGAGATCGCCGCTGTCTACTCACTCACGGGTCGGCCCGCAGCTCTAGGATCCGGTTCGATCCGACTCGGCGACCTCTACGCTGGAGAGGAACGAGAGTTATTAGTCGAACTGAAAATGCCGTTTTCCGCCACGGCGGGGCCCCACGCATCCCAGAACGTGATATCCGTGAGGTCCACACACAGGGTCCCGTCGTCCAATGAGATTGTGTGTTCAAAAGAGCGGGTCCTCCTCCTACCTCGATCGCAGACAGTCCGATCGTCATCGTTGAACCCGAACATCGAGCGGCTGAAGAACCTCCACGTAGCGGCTAGAGCTGTGGCGGAGTCGCGGAGGTTCGTGGAGAGGAGCAGCGACTTTTCGGGCGCCTACCACCTGCTGTCGTCGGCGCGAACGTTGCTCCTGCATTCGAGGTCAGCTTCGGCGGAGGAGTTCCTGCGTGGTTTGGAGGGGGAGATGGCTGAGTTGCAGAGGCGGCGGCAGGTTCAGCTGCTGGCGAAGGTTGAGGCGAAGCAAAGCAAGAAGGGATTCAACAACGGACAGGTGGAGGAGAAGCAGGATCCGCTAACGCCGACGTCGGCTTGGCGCGCCGCCGAGAAATTGGCTAAGGTGGCTACGTTAAGGAAGTCCATGAACAGAGTCAGCGACTTACACGGCTTCGAAAATGCCAGATTTTAGTTCCTGTGTTTTCTTTTTAGATTTTATTTTAATTTATTTTTGATATATTTTGTAATTGTAATACAAAAGGGAATATAATGATATCAAAAAATTTCATGGCGATGAAAAAAATATTTGAAAATATGGGCCCAGGCCCATAATGGCGACAAGTAGTAACGGACGGCTTGGCCCTTTTGGAAAGGAGAGGAAAAGTAAAAAACATTGAACAAAAACCCCCCAATGAAAAAAAATTGAATATGAAACGTTTTGTTGGTGGGGATGACTCCTTTGATTTTGTCTCTATCAATTAGTATATTCCCCACCAAAACCCAAGGAGTTGTGCTCATCAGTCGCGTAGCGTCATAGCCGTTGATGAGGACGAGACCCACGGTGAATCCACAATCATCAACGGTTATATTAGCATTCGCTTGCAACTGAAACTAGCACTTCTCATGCATAAACCTCCAATAACGTGATATTCAATGAACTCTTTCCATATATTTATGTAAAGGAGCACCAAGGAATGGGTTGTGGAATTCTTAAATAATGAAGCATGTTTTTGGTTTTTTTGGATATGGTGGTTGGGTCTAATGAATAATGAGTTGCCGGTGATGATGTAGGGGCTAGAGTTTGTAAGTTTGTGTGAGGTGGTGTCATGTTGGTGTGGTTTTTGGTGGGTTTAAGACAAATGGCTTGACTGCATGACAAAGAATCATGCTTTTGCAGGAGGCAGAGAGTGATGCCAAGACCCAAAACACTTACAAATTGGTTATTTATTTATTTATAATTATACTACTCTGCTGGAGTATAGAATATTTTGTACGGTAGTGATTTCTGCGTTTCTTTTGTTACTTCTTGCGTTCCTCTATTTTTCCCTAGCTATTAGATTGAATTAATACAAAGAGAATTAAGAGATCCCAATTAATCTGTGACTGTATTATTTTGAAATTATTGTATATAGCTTAAGTAGGTAAGAACATCTTACAGTGCATCCGATGTGCTGTATTTGGATCCACCTACATCACTTGTTTCATAAAAATAAAATCTGCATAACTAACAAAAAAATTAAAAAAAAAGAAAAAAAGAAAAAGAAAAAGAAGGATAGGAAAGAGAGGTGGAATGCACATGTTCCCTTTATCCATCATAACGTTAGGAGAAGGGGGGGGGGGGGGGGGATCATTCCCAATCAATGGAGACCCCACGATTGTCACAAATGAAATGGGGGTGATAATAACTTGTTTGGAATTGGATAGCATGCATGCACTGTTCTTTAATACAAATTACACACACACACACACACACACACATATATATATATATAGTTATATATGCGCGCACACACAATGTTTCCAGATTGCAACCTAGTGCGCTCTGAAACGTTTGCGTTGCAACAAAACAAATAGAAATGTTCTCCCAACCACCAAATGAAACACTAAAAGCACATCCACACATCCTCCGTTCTTGATATCCAATTCAATCCTTGGTCACCAGATAGCCAAGAGAATGAGACTCACAACACAAAACTTGGACGGTTCATTGAGCTGTCCAAATCTTTACCTTTAAACAGGAAACATGATATGCTTTGCAAAATTAAAAAGGAAATAATCTTTCACAAGGTCCCCTCCAAAGAAGTAACTAGTAAGTAACTAATCACATGCTTATATTCATGGACCACTTGCATTCCCATCATATTAACCTGAGACTACTTCTAATACCATGACCATTTTTTTTTTCTTCTTAAAAAGGGGACCAGCTAATGGCTTCGCCACAGTAATCCATCCTTCTAGGGTAGGGAAGACTCAAAGTTGCATTTTAGTCTCCCTCGAGCTGCCATCGTGTGATTCACTAGTGCAAAAAATCTAACTCAGGACGTGTTATGTGAAATACGGGCCTGAAATTCATCCCCAACCACTGGACCGTGGTGATTCTAATACCATAACTTCAGTTGCACGTTAGTAAAACGTTTAAAAAGATGAAAAAGGTTCCAAAAACGCTTTACAAGTCTAAATCTGCGTGAAGATTGGTGACAGTAACTTGAGCTTGAAAAAGGGTTTTGATTTCTTCCGAAACACAGACACTTCCTTCTTCCATGGTTCTGTTGTGGCCAGAGGCCAGGGAGAGAGCTCTTTATCGCACTTTTTAGGGGGAAAAGGAAACTCATAATTTCCTTAAATTTCGCTCACTTTTGGAAGCACTTTTTCTATGAGTGACTGCTTTTTTTATTGCTGCTGCTGCTGCTTTTCAAATGTGCTTATCTCAAAGCTCCACCAACAACTTGTATATAAATTATATCCCTAAAGCCACTTCGTCTCTGCATAAATATGTTACCACCATGACATGATTACATGTGTGTGTGAGAGAGAGTGTGTGGTGGTGCTGGTGTACGATTACTTAATCCCTTCTCTATCTTGTGGTCGTTGGATTGAATAAATCAAAGGAGAATCAAATGACGGAAATTAACGGGGTGGGGAAATCCTTTTTCTTCTTAAATCAAGGAGGCAACGAGAAAAGAGGAAAGAAGGGAAAAGTGCCACTCACTAGCTATCCTGAACAACAAACAAGTAAGAATCCAAAGATCTATCCAAAATTTGTTTGCTAAGACAAGAAATTGAGAAAACTGACTTGATTAAATTACTAAAAGTACAAATTCACAGTCTCTGTTGTGTTGGTAAAAAAGATGCAGATAAGAGAAAAGTGAGAAATTATGGAAGGGCTCATTATTCTTCTAAAGGCAGGCAGGTCATTTGGGTCAGTTTAGATGCAATAGACTCTACACTGCCCCAGACGACGCAGTTTTATAGTATCGGCCTGGATTTGAGATCCATGAATTGAGGAGCCAATTACAATTTACATGACCGAGCAGGAGAATTAGAACTTATTCATGAGAATGAGCCAGCATGTCCTTGTGTTGGGGATCCTGAATCCCTGATGATGATGATGCATTCAAATTAGTCCCAGGGGAAGTGGATTGATTTAACCGCCAGAAAGTAAAAAGAATATGTATTCACAAACAATGCTTCAACACACCAAATAAACCGGCTTTTGACACCATAACCACACATCCTACCTATGCGACACAGGATGACTAGTTTCTACAAGCTTAACGAGTGGCCTGCACTGTGCTGAATCAACGTCGGAAGGACAATATGGACACTTGAAAGCTTTTGTCCCGTTCTTTGACATCTTCGTAATAGACTGCTTGCAGAGCACATGTCCACATGACATCAACATAGGCGGATTTTCTTCAGTCGACTGTTCCTTCGACACAGGACACACAAAAATAGAATGGAATTGAAACTCATGGTCTTACTCTACTAGCACAGGTAACTGCTTCTGAGACTGCCATTCCTGTCTCTTTCCTGCCATTACATTCACAAACTTGAGAAGAGGCGGCAAGCCCTGAATCCCTGCACCCATGGTCACACTCAACGGGCTCTTGTAAGATTGGCCCAGAATATTGCGGGACTGCCTGGTTAGCTCCCCGGTAACTTTGTCCCAATTGGCTGGTGATAATAAGTGAGAGTATGGGGAGTACTCAAGCCTTCCAGTCCACAGAAGACCCCCCCATGAGCTTTTGTATTTCAGCCATATAGTCTGAAGCAAAAGGAGCAAGACAAGTTTTTGAGTACTGGAGAGCTCTATATCTGTTTCCCTTTTGCAGTATTTCGACAAATTGCAGACTGTGAAGTTTCAGTAACATGTCTGATCCATTTGGTTTGAGTTTATTGGAATTAGTCGCGGCCCAGCTCAGTGCTGGCTCCAGATTCCGATGTTTCATTGCCTCAACCATCCGAAATAATTCCTGAAACTGAGATTTCAATGCAGCCGCAGCTTCTGATTCCTCAGTCTCACTTATAAAACAGTCGCCAACTTCGAATAGGCCCTGCTGATAGAAATGGCCGCCAATAATCGCATTAGTTGTGTGGGTATCAAAGTCAATGTTTCTATAAGCCTTGGTAATATCAGGAATGAGGGATTTCTCCATAATCTTTGGATATTTGCTAAGTGCTAGGTTCAGTTCCTTCTGCATGCTTTCCAACTGAGTGAGGGGAGCTATATCTTTTATCTTGACTTTAAGTTCAGCAAGAGAAGACTTACAATCAACCTGAGATTCACAACCATTAGACGATTGTAGCTTTTGTAACGTCTGCTTCATTTCTTTGTCGATCAGATCGAACACTTCTTGAGCTTTAGACCTGGAATATCAGATGTTTTATCTGGCTCTATGTTGCGCTATATTTTTTTCCCTCTCAATGGGGGATCTATATCAGTTCAGAGCTAGTTACGCATTGGATCCACACCGCAGAGGCTACGACATAAGTCATCTTACAAACTAGAACAAACAAAGCTTGACAGTGTATTTCCAACTTTTTCCCACAGTTGTCTATTGCCCAAAAAATGTACAGCCACCTTAACATACAAACATTTGGATATGCAAGTGTACAAGAAGTGAAAGAACTATGGGAGTAGTGTAGAAAATAGTGAGAGAGTTAATTCCTTACACTAATCACCTTTCATGTTGGCAATGGTAAAAATGGGAGAGCTTCAAAGGGTTGAAAAACGGAAGGCCCTAGATTCCAAACCAGTTCAAGGGTCAACCATTTTTCTTTATGTTTTTTTTATTTTTTATTCCGCGATACTTTACACTACCCTAATCTACACGGAGAGAGATTCGAACTCGGTTGCAATGGAACGGGCACACTGTCCTAGACAACTAGCCTAACCCGCATCCAAAATCAGCAATATGGTATGAAAAGGGAAAAGCCTTGACATATAAAAAGTATCTAAACTTGACATGTTGGGTCAATTTTAATTGCAATTTCCCAAGATTCTTGATAGGTGCATTATTTATCATATTTTCATATTAATTATCCCTAAGTTTTGTTAAGGAATTGATTATATATGAGCCTTATTACTTTCCTTTTCTCAGTTTCAGCCATTCTGTGCACTTAGGACGTTTTTGGTGATAATTCAACTTCCCGGAGAAGTTTTGATGCAAGGCCAATTGGAGAAGGAAGCTAAGAGGTTGAAGATCGTTTTTCAAAATTTCATAATTTTCCATGGAGCCATTCATTCCACTTTTACAAATCAATTCCGCAGAAGTTGTTTTCCCTTCAGAATTGCACAGCTGTGGGAGAATGAAGATTTGGAGGCTTTCCTGATTTTTCCTAGTGGTGTGTAATATATGTCTGGAAAGATAAGAGATAAAGCTACGTTTCCCATATTTTTACAGATTTTTCCAAAAGATAAATCGACCCTAAAACTAGCGTGCAAAACAGATGACGTGTTTCCCAAGTCAACAAGGATTCTTTCTTAGTTTGTGTCATTAATTGTTTAGGAGTTTGTTTTATTTTAGGAGACTTTCTCCCAGACCTTTTAGGGTTTTTCTAGTATAAATAAGTGCCCTAAGCTCTCTCTAAGACATCCATCAATCCATCAATCCATCAATCCATTGATCCATCCATCCATCCACCACCGCACCATACTACCATTCACCATCTCCGCAATTTGTGAGGAAGAGCTTAGGGACGTGCTTTGCCATGGATTCCGGGTTCCATCTTTCTTTTATTTTTATTTCTATGTGTAACTAAGTTATTTTCTAAGGTTTATGATGAAGCCATGTACATGAATATTTGCGAAGTACTTTGTTGATTATTATCCGATTATACGCCATGTTAGATTCTTAATCTTTGTGGGTATTTTATTCTAGGTTCGAGTTTCTAATGATTGATCACCTTTAGGAATTTTGCATCTAGAGATTTAGATAAATCTATGAGGATGAACAATATCAATTAGGTTTATTGGAACTAAGATTAAGAAGAGTAGACAAACTAGTGAGGATGACCAATATCAAGCTAGTCCTACTTGGTTGACAGGATTCTTCTATGCTTATTGGGTTTTTATGTGTTTAATTGTATGCCTAACCAATAGGATATAATTATCATGTAGAGATACAAGAGTTGATGTCTGACCACTGATTAATTCATATTTTAGAAAGAACAACATTTAACATTGGCATGGTAATTGGATAGTAATTGGCTCTAGGAAAAGTAAATAGGATTGTTATTGGTAGATTCATAACCTTAGGCTTTCTTGTGTCGTGTGTTTGTTTTAATTCATTGTCTTTTCTTTTTCTTGTTAATTATAGTTTTACTCAATTATTCAATTCTATCTATCCTTTGTTTGTTTAATGAAGTCTAGTGTGATTAATCGGTTAAATTGGTGTTAAAGCAATCCCTGTGGGATCGACCTCGTATTTTCATATATTACTACAATTGATTTGTGCACTTGCGAATTTAATTTGGTTTAAGTTAATCTATTATTTAGGTTAGTTTAAATCTACATCAAGTTTTTCTCATTAAGCATATCAATTTCAAGGGTCAACTAAGTGGGAGCTGCATGTGGATGGGTCATTTTAATTTCCCTTGAGGGGGTAGACCTGGAGTGTTCAGTTCGGTTAGATTTTCCAGCATCAAACAATGTGGCGGAATATGAGGCCCTGATATTGGGCCTCGAACTTGCGAAACAATTGAAGATAAGCCACATTATCATGCATAGTGATTCACAACTCATCGTTGGCCAAACAAATGAAGAGTACACAACCAAAGATGCAAGGACGGAGGCATATCAGGAGCTGGCAAACAGATTCAAGTATTTCGAACATAACCAAATACCTAGGGAGATGAACAAAAGAGAGGACCAGCTAGCATGCATTGTGTCTACAATTCAAGATAACTTAACAAGGGTAACCGCGGTAGAGGGTTTATACTCTCCGAGTATTGGAACCATGGAACCAGAAGTGATGCAGATAAACGGGCAAGAGTCGAGATCTGACGACACGTTGCCAAAGCAAGCTCAAGCTGAAGATGAAGAATGTTGGGTGATGCTGGTCGTAAACTACCTGATGAAAGGGATCAAGCTAGAAGATCCGGCGGAAGCGAGGAAGCTCCGAATAAAAGCAGTAAGATACATAATCATCAACGACACGCTTTATAGAAGGTCATTCTTAGGACCTTGCCTTAGGTGCTTAATCTAAGGCAATCTGAATAGGTTATAAGAGAATTGCATGAAGAAATGTGTGGTAATCACTTTGAAGGAAAAAGCTTAGCACATAGAGCATTAACTCAAGGCTACTTTTGGCCGTACATGGCTCGGGACGTAGAACAGTACGTAAGGAAGTCTGATAAATGCCAAAAGTATGCCTTGGTTGTCTTACAGCCTGCTGAAGAACTCAATCCAATCGTGGGACCTTAGCCATTTGTAAAGTGGGGCATGACATCGTAAGCCCGTAGCCGAGGGCACCTAGGAATAACAGATTTTTCCTTCTCACCACAAACTATTTCACTAAATTGGTAGCAGCATAAGCGTACATTTCTGTTTCACAAGATGATGTAATAAGATTCGTATGGCGGAACACAACATGCCAGTTTGGCATACAAAGGGCAATAGTGAAGGACAATGGAACACAATTCGATAATTGAAAATTTAGAAGTTATTGCATTGAGAAGAGGATCACATTACAATTCTCTTCCACAAGTTTGGCATACAAAGGGCAATAGTGAAGGACAATGGCCAAACTGAGAAGACAAATCGAACGAATTTTGATTGTTTAAAGAAAAAGTTGGAACAATGCAAAGGAAAATGGCACGAGGAGCTACCCAATGTACTGTGGGCTAATTGCACCACGAAATAGAAGCCAACGGGTGAAAGCCCATTCTCCCTCGCTTATGGCACTGAAGTGATCCCACGGAAATCAATCTACTTGCAATTAGAACATTAGTGGTGGAAAATGGCAAGAACGATCAGCAGCTAGCCTATGACCTCGACTTAGTTGAGGAACAAAGAGAGATTGCTGCACTGCGACTTGCGAACTACCAGAACCAAGTTGCCACTTACTTCAACAAACTGGTTAAATCAAGAAGGATCAACGTAGGTGAATGGGTATTGCAAAGGTCATGAAAACAAAAAAGATTTGAATGCAGGAAAGCTTGGACGCATATGGGAAGGACCATACGAGGTGACTGAAGCCCTTGGAAAGAGTAATTAGTTATAAAACAAAACAATAAAAATAGTCACACAACTTATTATCCTATTTTGTAAGGGTAGTGAATTCTGCATTTCTTTTTTACTTCGTGCACTCCTCTCTTTTTCTCTAGCTATGAGATTGAATTTATTAGAAGGGAATCAAGAAATATAATTAAGCACAAGAGTGCAAAAGATTAAAAGGGAGCGCGGAAATTACTTCCCATTTAGTAGAGATCCCAATTAATGTGTGAGTGTATTATTTTGAAATTATTTCATGAAGCTCAAGTAGGTAAGAACTGTAAGAATATGAGCATAAGTATGAATTTGTGATCTTGGTTATTGGAATTTGAGATTAAATAGGAAGTCTTATTGGGAATGGATTTGTAATCCATATTATACTAAATTACTATTTGTAAGGGATTAGTTTTCTATAAGAATTCTAATAGGGGAATCCTTATAGAACTTGGCAAGGATTATGTTATGTATATATATAGTGGCCTCTGCTCTTGAAGTGTATATGCTCTTTTTCTAGATTAAGACCTATTATTAGTTAAGAGCAAAACTGATTACTGAAGAGAGGAAAAGGTGCACATCTGTTGTATTGCAGAACTCAGACATGGCAACTCTTCTAATTCATCTGCAGGTATGGTTCTTTTCTTTACGTTGTGTTGGTGAATTATGGTTGTGTTTTGATTGCAGTAATTTATATTACTTGTTCTTGGTTTTATGTTTATTCTAACATGTGGTATCAGAGCTTGGAATTTGGAACATTTGCAATATCGTTGAAGACCTTGAATTTGTCAAATATTCCAACACTCACCCGGGGGGGGGGGGTAACTACAAGAAGTGGAAGAGAGAAATTGGTTTGATGCTGACAATCAATGAATATGATATAGTCATTGATACTCCAAAACCAGTGATAATAGATCAAAGTACTAGAGCGGAGAAGGCTGATCATTAGAGGTGGACCAGAGCAAACAAAGTTGCTCTCTCTATTCTTGAAAATGGAATGACTGATACAGTTAGATGAGGGATTAAAACACATGACTTGGTAGCAGAGTATTTGAAATCCATTGAAAAGAAGTTTAAGGAGTCTCAGAAAGCAGAGATCAGTCAATACATGTCACTCCT